AGATAGGATGAAGGCCCGGTGCAGTGGTCCAGTCTGGCTGAAGGCTCATGTGTGCATGTTTTTATCTTTATGGTTATGTATTGTACTTTGGGGGACTCACTAAGCTTTGCGTTACAGTTTTAGTTTTATGTTTCAAGTACTTCAGATGACCATGGGAAAGCAAATGCGTGATCATGCACATCCTCTTGGTTTTGATGATAGTGATTTGGGACACTATGATATATGATTTCTAATTTTAGGAAAAATGTTTTATAAACGTTTGGTTTTGATTTGGGTTTTGCCTAAAAATAACATTTCCTCTTGATTTAAAAAATGAAAAAAAAAAAATAATTATCATGATTTTGGGATGTTACAAGTTGGTAGTAGAGCCCTGGTTTGAGAGAATTGGATAAGCATTCTTGTGAATCCAGACTCAAAAGAAGGATTTATAAATGTTTTCAAAATGATTTTTTAAAGTTGTTTTCAAAAGCAACCAAGGAAGGACAATAAGTGTATGATCGGCCAGCGCAAGAAGTATACCTAAGTTACAACACTGTTATTTGTTATTGATGATTATGATAGAACAACATGCAAGTGATTATCTAGGGATCTTTGGGGATTGCATGATAGAATTACCTGATGTATGATGTCTGACGGCGTCAGAGGAGTTCTTGTATGTTAGATGAAATTGACATCATTACTGTAGTTGCTTCATGTGTGCATCATGGTTTTGCATACCTAAGATTCTATAGTCTGAGAATGTTTGATTTTAACCTTGATTCTTGTTCTTGTCTGATTAAGGGCTTAGGGTAGAATCAATTATTAGACTATCTATAGGATCCAACATTATCATAGTTTTGCATACCTAAGATTCTATAGTCTGAGAATGTTTGATTTAACCTTAATTCCTATTCTTGTTTGGTGGAAGTTTCATAAGTAAGTATGTGGGTGTAGTAGGCCAATTGATAAGTGAATTTCCATTCTCGAGAAAGTAACGATAGGATTTATGAGTATTCTGGTTGTGGGTTTGTTCTCGGATAGTTTTTGATGATCCATTAAGAAAATACAGGTACGTGTGGAAGGTAGTATGGACCCGCATTACTGAAAGCACAAGACCGTATACGTAGCAAGGAAGTCACAAACCCTGAGGGTTAGTCTTGTCATGGTGATTATATCAGTATACATTATGGCCTTTTTGATATATATATATATATATATATATATATATATATATATATATATATATATATATATATATGTATATATATATATATATATCTTGGTTTAGTTTTTTGGTATGGCGATTACAAGATGTTGTGGTTCGGGAGTTGGTGGCCATGTGAAGGTTAATTGTCCCTTGTTTGCTACAAAGCCAACACAAGCTCCTGTACCGGATACTTTAAGGATCACCGATAGATGCCATTATAGGGTGAAGCTTCTGAGGGCATAGGGTCGTGCTTTCTTACTCACTGTAGAGGAGGCCAGGATGGCAGCAGATGTTATTACTTGTATGTTCTCATTTACTATCCTATCAATTATTTTATGGTATGGTTACGTTCATGACTCTGCTAGGTACATTCTTAGTGAACTCTTTTCATGTTCTTGTGGTTTTTGACTGGGATGTGAGTCAGTATTTTGTATCTCAGTCTTTCAACAAGAGTTTTGATTTAACTCTAGGAGAGTTGGTGTGTCTATTGTGGGTTTCTACACCAATGAGCATGGGGTTTCTGCATCAAGCATTTATCAAGGTTGTATCTAGGAGATTTTCAAGGTGCCTTATCTAATTGACCTAATCCCTATTCCCATGGGGGATTTATGTGCGATTGTAGGGATAGACTAGAAATGATTGACTATGAGAGGTAGTGGCTGGTAGTTTGAAAGCTAAGTGGGGGATAGTGGCTGGTAGTTTGAAAGCTAAGTGGGGGAGAACTAGTTATTTATTGAGAGGGTACCAAGATTAGATCAGCCTTTTGTTTTGCTGCTAGGGCTTGTCAGTATCTACAAGATGCGTGTATGGTTATCTCATGTATGTGGTTGACAGTCAAGTCGGGAAGGAAATTTCAGTTTCATTGTGCATGTTTTTAGGGAGTTCCCTGATATGTTTCCGAAGGAATTACCCGGTGTTCCTCCTGAGAGGTAGGTGGAGGTCAGGATTGATTTGGTCCCCGGTGCGGCCCCGATTGTTAAGGCGTCGTACCTTTTGGCACCACCTGAGATAGAGTTGTTCTCTCAGCTTTAAGAGTCTTTTGGGAAAGAAGTTTAGAAGACCAAACAGTTCGTTGGGGGGGGAGAACTGATCTTGTTCGTGAAGAAGAAGGATGGGTCTCATCTCATATGTATTGATTACCAGGAGTTGAACAAGTTGACAGTGAAGAACCGTTATCCACTTTTGCGCATTAATGACCTCTTTGATCAGCTGCATGGTGCATCTTGGTTTTCTAAGATTAATTTAAGGTTAGGGTATCATCATATGAGGGTTAGAGAGGAGGGCGTGGAGAAGACTGTGTTTCATACTTGTTATGGCCATTACGAGTTCGTGGTGATGCCGTTTGGGCTCATCAATGCGCCAAAAGCATTCATGGATTTGATGAATCTAGTGTGCAAGTTGATGCTCGATCGTTTAGTTATTTTTTTATTGATGATATCTTTGTCTATTCCAAGAACAGTGACTAGCATGAGGTGCACCTTCAAGAACATTTGGGTGTTTTGAGGCGGGAACGGCTATATGTCAAGCTCTTTAAGTGTGAGTGTTGGTTACAGGAGGTCCAATTCTTAGGAAACATCATTAACTAGAATGAGATTTTGGTCAACCCAGGCAAGATCGAGGCAGTTATGCAGTGGGAGGTTCTGAAGTCTCACTTGTTGATCAGGAGTTTTTTGGGAATAGTCATGTATTATCAGAGACTTAATCAGGATTTCTCCAAGATTATTGTACCCATCATTTGTCTGACAAGGAAGGGCATTCATTTCCATTGGGGCCCTTAGCAGTAGGATGCATTTGATACTTTGAGGCAAAAGTTATGTGAGGCCTCAATGTTGACCTTCATCGAGGGGGATGAGGATTTTGTGGTATTTTTTATGCATCCATCACCGTCCTTGGGACAGTTCTTATGCAGCGAGGGAGGTTATTGATTATGCTTCTCGGCAGCTGAAGTCGTATGAGGTCTGTTATCCAACTCATGATTTGGAGTTAGGAGAAGTAGTGTCTGATCTCAATATTTGGCAAAATTATTTGTATATGGTCCGGTGTACTATCTACACGGATCACATGAGTTTGAGATATCTTATGGATCGGCCGAATTTGAACAAAAGATAGTGTAAGTGGCTTGACGTGGTTAAGGATTATAACTATGAGATTTCGTATCACATGTGAAAAGCGAATGTGATCGCTGATGCTTTAAGCTGCAAGTCAGCTAGTTCCTCGGTTGGGAGTTAATGTATGAGGATTTTGATTGTTTCGCCTCTTCTAGATTTGATTAAGGAGGCGCATGTTAAGGGGGTCAAGAAAGAGCACTAGAAACTAGTGAGGACCAGAGGCGAGAATAACAGGTTTTCCACCGACAGTTATGGATTGTTGACCGGTGTGGTCGGGTGCAGGTACCAAATTTTGGTGGGATCTAACATATTGTGTTGCTGGAGACATATAAGTCCATATTTTTTATACACGCAAGAGCCACCAGCATGTATCGAGATTTGTAATTTAGCAACTAGTGGTCATGT